GGATGTACTGATCTAAACTTACGTTGGTAGTAGAAATGCGACGTTCATATTGCCCCATATGGTTTACGTTAATTACAGATGTAATTAAAAGAATTTAGAGAAGATATTTCACCCGAACGTAGACTGTCATCAAACTGTTTAACTGTTTATCATTCGTTTTTTCTGGTAACGTTCGTCTTAACGTGTGTGTGTCGGGGTGAGGGGTGCGGTGGGTAGACACGTCAATAGAACAGCGCATCAGTTAGCCCTGAGATGGGTTTCTTAACTTAGGTTACCGACACCGTCGTTTGTTTTCTGCCTTAGATTACTTGTTATTATCTTTAGAAAGTATTAGATTTAGCATCTTAGAAAAAGGACGAAGACGTTTGCGTCCGAGAGCTTTGACGTTTTAGAGTTCAGGCCGAAAGTGTGCTTTTATTACAATATACATGGTGGTAGAGCGAACTGTATTTCTGAAACCAATTACGTGTCTCAAACGCAACAAATCACGATGCACGCGCTGCAGGTAACACGTGAGAAGCATATAAAATACTTGCACCCCTCGTGTTATGAAAATACTGTTTGAATTATCATCCCCTCTGAGCTAAAACTGAGCTAAACGCATACTTATTGTCTAAACCACTCTATGGGACCCCCTCAGTTAACGTCAGCCAAAAGATGGCAAGTTATAGGTATGGTTAATGCCGGGTTGTCCGTGAGACAAATAGCCAGGCAATAAGGTCACCACCCTCAACAATCAGACGATTAGTGAGGAAATATCACCGTGAGACAAATAGCCAGGCGATTAGGTCACCACCCGCAACAATCAGACGATTAGTGAGGAAATAACATCGTGAGACAAATAGCCAGGCGATTAGGTCACCACCCTCAACAAGCAGACGATTAGTGAGGAAATATCACCGTGAGACAAATAGCCAGGCGATTAGGTCACCACCCTCAACAATCAGACGATTAGTGAGGAAATAACAACGTGAGACAAATAGCCAGGCGATTAGGTCACCACCCTCAACAAGCAGACGATTAGTGAGGAAATATCACCGTGAGACAAATAGCCAGGCGATTAGGTCACCACCCTCAACAATCAGACGATTAGTGAGGAAATATCACCGTGAGACAAATAGCCAGGCGATTAGGTCACCACCCTCAACAAGCAGACGATTAGTGAGGAAATATCACCGTGAGTCAAATAGCCAGGCGATTAGGTCACCACCCTCAACAAGCAGACGATTAGTGAGGAAATATCACCGTGAGACAAATAGCCAGGCGATTAGGTCACCACCCTCAACAAGCAGACGATAAGTGAGGAAATATCACCGTGAGACAAATAGCCAGGCAATTAGGTCACCACCCTCAACAATCAGTCGATTAGTGAGGAAATATCACCGTGAGACAAATTGCATCGTTCAGGCAGACCACGCAAGACGTCAGCTAGACAAGACGCAGCCCTACTTAGACTTGTTCGGCGACTTCCCTTTGCACAAAGTCCAATGTTAAACCGGCAATGGCTTCCACATCAGCAACTCTGTCATAAAACTGTCAGAAATCAGTTAAAAACAGTTGGGTATAAGGCAAGGAGTCATGTCCGACGACCTTTGTTGACAGGTACCCACATGGATGCACGATTACGGTGGTGCCGTGACCGGTATCGGTGGAACCTGGCTTCTTGGAGAAAGATCCATTTTTCAGACGAGAGCCGATTTTTGTCGAATGATTACAAACTTCAGTTTGTCACAGTGAGAGGAAATCTGAATGGATAAAGATACCAAGAAGACATCTTCAGGAGGCATGTAGTGCCTCACTTTGATAATTGTTCCCTATTAACAAGGCCAGTCTTTGTGGTTGACAACGCCAGGTCACATGGCGCACGTAGGCCGGTGGGGTAGCCAAGTGGTTAAAGCGTTCGCTCATCACGCCGAAGACTCGGGTTCGATTCCCCACATGGGTACAATGTGTGAAGCCTATTGTTGGTGTCCCACGCCGTGACATTGCTGGAATATTGCTAAAAGCGGTGTAAAACCAAACTCACACACTCACATCGCGCACGCGCAGTCATTGTTTTCCTGTACCAAGGCGCCATTACCACCGTTCCGTGGCCAGCCAGAAGCCTTGATTTGAACCCATGTTTGGGACATTCTGGGGAGTAAGGTTCTTGAGAGATCCGCCATTCCAGAATATTGATGAATTAGAGCAAACATTGCAACAAGAATAGAACAGGTTGACCCAACATGGGATTCAGCGTCTTGTGCACTCAATGAGGACGAGAGTTCAAAACGTCGTCCAGTTGGGCGGAGGTTACACAAGATACTGCCTGTCTTCCGTTTCTAAAACTGGAGACCTTATTTGTGGATTGGGTGTATGAATTAGGACTATGCATCGTGTTACCCGTTTGGGATGACCATACTTATATTGACACATTATGTTATCTTAATTTCAGTTTTATTACAGGACTCATGTTAAATCAAAATAAACCATTCAGATTCTTTAATGTAGATTTTTGTTTAAATAAAAAGTCTTTTTAGCACTTTGGCTGCAAAATAATTTCCGGTGAAAACGTACATGACATATAAACTGTGATTAAATATAAGTCCTGTTATAAAACTTTTTTTCCCATCAGTACTTGTACATCAAACTTCATATCGTTTTCATCATATTGCTACGTTCGATTCGCTTCTTGTACTTGATGAGTTAAATACTTATAATCGCTTATTAAAAACAGTTTAAGAACCAAACTGAATTTTGGACAGACTGCGACACCTATTAGATAAGGAAAGAAGGACACAAGAAGCATTGGACAACGCGATTTTCACCAACTGGGAACGTATGGTCGAAGTTAGAGATTTTACGGGGCTTCAAAGTTTTAGCGTTGTTTTAGGTTTTCAAGAACCTTGTTTCTTCTCCATATGTGTATGCTTCTGAACTCATAATAAAACTGAGGTACTGCAGGAGTCAACTAGTCCGTGTGTACTGGAATATTTCAATCACTATCGCTGTGATACTTATATTGCAATATAGCTGACTGACTGAGTTTGGTTTTACGCCGCTTTTAGCAATATTCCAGCAATATCACGGCGGGGGACACCAGAAATGGGCTTCACTCATTGTACCCATGTGGGGATTCGAACCCGGGTCTTCGGCGTGACGAGCCAACGCTTTAACCACTAGACTACCCCACCGCCCCATATTGCAATATAGATTTGCAGCCGGAAAGGAAATAATATTAATGATCCCGCATGAAAATGTATGAGGTATAATTGGGTAAATGGTATCCTTAGGGTGTAGAAACGTTATATTGATTGGTTAAAAACGTCAACGGTTAGATAAGGTAGAAATGTCATTTTGATAATGATAAAAACGTGTATATATATATATAAAATTATTGTTTTAAAGTTTTCTCGTCACGATATGGTTGAAATATTGCCAATAGGATGGTAAATATTAACTAATTCGCCCGTTGAGAAGACGATAATAGACAAGCTTTAAAACTGCCTGACGACTGTCCGATAGGAGTCAGTATACTATGCCTGAATGAGAAATCCATGTTTTAGTGGAGCTAGCGCGACCTTAAGGGCTGTGGGGTAGCCTAGTGGTTAAAGCGTTCGCTTGTCACGCCGAAGACCAGGTTTCGGTTCCCTGCGTGGATAAAATGTACGAACCCATTTCTGGTGTCCCCCGCCGTAATATTTCTGGAAAATTGCTTAAAGCGGTGTAAAACTTAACTAACTCACTCACTCTAACACAAGCCGTCTATTTGTGATATGTTAATTTCTGTAATGTTTATAAATGTTGTGGGGGTGTTAGCCTAGTGGTTAAAGCGTTGGCTCGTCACGTCGAAGTCCCGGGTTCGAATCCCCACATGGGTAAAATGTGTGAAGCCCATTTCTGGTGTCCCCCGCCGTGAATATTGCCAAAAGCGGCGTAAAACCAAACTCAGTCAGTCAGTCAGTATTAATGTGGGATATACAGGTAATCTACACTGACGACAAGACGATAAAATCAAAGACCAAGTGCTTAATTTTCAAACCCCCGTGAAGATTCGGGTTAGAATTAGTCTTCAGCAACCGATGCTTGTCGTAAGAGGTGACTAACGCGATCGGGTGGTCAGACTCTCACTGACTTGGTTGACACATGACATCGTATCCTAACTGTGTAGATCGATGTTCATGACGTTGCTCACTGGATTGTCTGGTCCAAATTCTATCTTTTACAAACCGCCGCAATGTAGCTGGAATGTTGCTCAGTGCGGCGTTAAACGACAACCAGACCAGACCACAATTTTTAAAAAGGATTTTTTTTCTCGCTTCTCATGTTAGATATCAGAATCTAACAACTGAGAAATCCACGATGAAAAAGAGTTATGTCCAGTAATATGTCTTTGAATCGACCCAGTTTTTTGACGGTTGTGCTTTCCCAAGCGTCTTAAATCAACAAGCATGAAGCCATTACCGTCTCAGATATGACTGACTGCACAAGCTACATTTTAAGTTACTCAAAAAGATTTAACGTTAAGCATCCATACACTATACCGTTCCATGTGTCGAGGCTGACAGAACCGCCTCCGTGGTGTAGTGGTTAGAGCGTCCGCCCGGAGAGCGGAAGGTCGCGGGTTCGATCCCCGACCGCGACACACCAAAAGACATTAGAATATGGTACTTGTTGGTCCCTGTCTGGCGCTCGGCATTAATGGGTACAGCAAGGACTGGTCGGCTCGAAGTCAGTATAATGTGTCTGAGTGGGGTATTCATGCTCCACTGCGGCATGGTATCTCAGTGGGCTAGCACTATAAAACCAGCTTAAGTCTGGGCTAGTACAAACAGCCGCACATATACATACACACGCATGCACGTCGTCATATGAGCGAAATATTCTCAAGTACGACGTTAAACCCAATTTCACCTCACCTCACCTCACCTCGAGGCTGACAGCTACCTGACGCTCAACTTTGTAAATACATGATTACTCTTAATGTTTTCATATTTCTAAAACACACATACAACTCTCAGTGAGTCTAAATACTGGTTTATTGCCACACTGACATTTGACATTTGTCTTATGACGTACATATAAATTTCGAGAATTAATACGAGTCAGCAGTACTGAGCGATCTTACTGAAGACAAGCACAGGCGCTGGCAACATCCACAGGAGGAGCTGCTGCACGTTTGCGTCGTCTTGACGGAGCTGAAATAAATGAAATTAAGTCAACGAAGTATTATGAGAATAAAGTTGATAATATTAGTGCTACCACTATCAGAGTCACTCAACATTTCGAACCGGCTTAAACGTACCTCATTCGATTAAAAAGATGGGAATTTGATTCAAGGCACGGATACTTCACCAAAGAGACACTGTTTGAAGAGGAGAAGTAAGTTAATGTTGATGACGTTTAAGGGAACTGGTATAATAAATAACGAAGCTAAACCTGGTACGATGATTGAACTGTAGGAGCTAAACTCAAACGTAATTAGTCACTGTCGTGTGCAACATGCAGATATCCATAGAATAATCCAACTGAATAATTAGAAAACATCAAAACATCTGAGGTCATTATATCAACACTATGCAAAGTTTACAAACGCATAATATCCTATGTACATAACATTCTCTCGGTGACGTATCATCCAAACTCGCACCGTCATTGAAGGGTCTAGTGATACTATAGTCCGTTTGGCTCAAAATCGGACCGATGAATTGCAATCTAACTCGAAAACTACTAATCATATAGTACTCAATGAAACACTGATCATAATCAAAACATCAGACCAAATCTGTGATTTTTTTGCAGAATTTATGTCCTAAAAATATAAAAAAAAGTTGTTTAACAAACTATCATTAAAATCTCGACACAGTTCATTATTTGTTACGAGGGAGGGGTGCAAAGAGAGGAACAGCCAGATGTGCTATAGTGTTTTCAATATTTGTTGTGGTTTGGGGAGTACATAAGCAAACGCTATGATACAGATTGGGTTGTTCCAGCTTTCTATTATTAACCAGTGGAGTCTTCACTGATGTAACCGGAAATACCAATAGACTACTTGTAACTATGTAATTGATGTTTAAAATTTCATTTAGACACGACAATACATACTTGTGGGATCCTCGGCGCCTGAGTGTACGAGACCGACGAAGTAGACTTTGTGGAAGCGGCAGAAGCAGTCGATCTCATCTCCCAGGAGCTCCTCCACAGCCCACGACTCGATGGGGCAAACGTCCGCCACGTCGATCCAGTCTTCATAGAGTTTGCCTTTGGATGCGTCGTGCTTTAGAAGTAATAAACGAAGTTATGATATTTCTAAATGTTTCAGGTCATAAACAAGTCAGCTTTGAAGGAATTTTTTTTAAATGTTTTAATCAGTCATTGATTCTGATGAATGGACCTAAAACAGCATCTACATATATCTGTTAATATTTTTGAAAATGCACATACCTGTTCAATACCGGCTATTTTCTCTTTCAAATCTTCAAAGGATTCTATGATATGTCTGACATAGCATTCTTTGTCCAAGGTATTTCTCATGGCAACAAGTTGCTGAAATGAGATAACAGATTTTGCTGACATCAATGAGTGATTTTGTGTTGCTAAACAGGTTTTGGTTTACCGATATATTGAGGAGGCCTGCAGATACATGAAAATGAACAGAAAAGTCTGGACTGGGAGGAACACCCAGTACTAACAGACGTTAATGGATATGTTACCAGGTACCAATCTTAATTCCAAAGGAATAATGGTGTTACAATAACGGATATTCTGATATGCAATATTGCACTGAATGTGGAAGTGGCCAGTTTTTCAGTTAAAGTTGAATAAAATTACGAATACCCTGGAAAACACGTGGATGTTGCTTGTTTCTCTAAACGAGGCTTTCGCATTGTCCGGTTTGTGGGAGTGAAGTTCAATTATGCCATCTCCGACTGCCACGTTCAGGAGCATTGTTGTGTCCTGGAATGTTGCATTGATATTTCTCCACTACAAAAAAGAAAAGAATTGTGTTCAACGCCGCCAAGTCAAAACAGACTACACAACAGTCTCGTTTCCTGCTGACTGGGTTCCGCCCTATTGCGCAACTTCGTACAATAACCAGTCCATATTTTAAGACCATTTCATTAAACTGGATACATAAATATTAAATCAGTTTTACTTGATACATCTAAGCACTTGTATATTGCAACACTACGCTACTTCTAATCCTTGCAAACACGTTGTTCAGCCTGCTCTGTCATACAGCGTGCTCTGACAGACGGAAATCTGGAAATCGTGGCAATCTCAAAACGAGGCTTTGCCGCTAGAAAAGTTTGGCGGTCTAATACGGACTTGATATTACAACAATCACATTGTACGTTACAAAACCGCATTGAATAAGCACAAAACACATAACAGGCGTTACCAGTAGGCCAGATGAATTGTGAATCGTTTTACGACCTCATCAAACAGGGGCAGTCTGTGACGTCTTAGTTAACGACATGCTGGCTACACCTCGTCATAAAATATAGAAATACGATGTTATTAAAGTTTAAAATTTAAACTAACTTGTAAATACCATTTTCTTATGAAACAAGGAATTGGAATGCAGTGTAATCATAGGTGTTTGTGGTGTCTCTTTTCACTTTCATACGAGAAAATACGGATCAGCTGGAAAGTAGATCTTTGTCTGAATAGGTTAATGAGACTCATGTTTCGGTTTGTTCAGCAATATTCAAAAACTGTATTGTTAGATACAATAAAATACACAAGACAGACTGATTATCAGCTTCAAGGAATGAAATGTAATTTATTCTGCGTCGTTGTCTTAAAATGTGCCATGTTTTTTTCAAAATGTGACTTCATCCTTTCTGAATCGGGGCGGTGGGGTAGCCTTGTGGTTAAAGCGTTTGCTCGTCACGCCGAAGGCCAGGGTTCGATTCCCCACAAGGGTACAATCTGGGAAGCCCATTTCTGGTGTCCCCTGCTGTGATATTGCTTGACTAAAAAAAGTGGCGTAAATCTAAATTCATTCACTGACTCTTTCTAAATCATCTTCGCTGATAATTCTAACGTGTACACTGGCAGGTGATGGAGAGAACGTTGATGCCTTGTTGCTCTTACTTCTGTTTTTGTAGAGCCCTCAACAAGGAAAAAGACACCGCATTCTGTAATACGGCATGTTGATGGGACATAACGTGTAAGTGAGTGAGTTTGGTTTTATGTCGCTTTTAGCAATATTCCAGCAATATCACGGCAGGGGACACCAGGAATGGGCTTCACACATTGCACCCATGTGGAGAATCGAACCATGATCGGGCGAAGGCTTTAACCACTTGGCTACATCACTGCCCCAGCACTATTACGGTCACATTAGTTGCGGACAAAGGGAAAAACTAAACGTGTAGCAACGATAAACCCAGTTTTGTCGTCACCTCACATCTTGCCTACAATCCTCAAGGATTTACCACTGTACGTCTGCGTACAATTTCACCATCTCAGGATGATGCGGCATAAATTCAGTGGACTTACCTCATACGCTGGTGCTGTTGGTGCCGCTTCTTTCCCTGGTGCCGCTACTGTCGCTGCTGCAGCAGATGACAAGACGAGACCAAGGCTAATCAAAAGCATCGTCATTGTGGAGTTTGTATACTGAAACGTGAAATTAATTCAAAATACTAAATTGAGCTCAAAGTGTGGAGAAGTACGAGGGAGTGAGAACAAGTCAGCAATGGGACAGCAGTCTGAAGGAAAAGAAATGAGACTGACCTGTCCAGTGTCGGGGGTCCAATATTTGAATGTTTCTTCAGTGTCCCGGCCGCTGTCTGTGACAAGTCGTGTTACATTTATATCTGATCTGTTGCACACATCACCTGTACAGAACATTGAAACATCCAATCACATGTGATGATATGACGGCCACGTGACTTGCATTTGATAGTCACACATCCAATCACAATCAATCAGAAGAGCTACCAATGACTGCTCAGATAACTCTGCTGTTTCCCAGTCCCCCTAGCAGCGATTGGTTTGTTCGAAATGTTCTCCTTTTGTATGTAATTCTATGCTACTCTTGCCTCTGACCAGAACAATTTAATAGGGTGCTCGTTGTGTTTTTCTCTGCTCCGATATACAGTGTATTTAGGGGATAACTGTACTGTGTTTGACGAATTAGGGACGTATACCGGTGGTTATATAGCCGCAAATATAGTTATATCGGCGACGCGTAAGCGGAGCCGATATAACGTTAAATTTGCGGCTATATAACCACCGGTATACGTCCCCAATTTGTCAAACACAGTACAGTTATCCCCATTCTAATTCAACTCGTTTTACGCTGTTTTTTCGTGAAAGAGATTCATTATTTAAACCAGGTCAAAGTTCCTCTAGGTCAAAGGTTAATCATATCACTCCTTCAACTTACACCATCGCCAGAGAAAGTAGTTCCCTTTTCAAACTACACACGTTTATTATGTGCACACAGACTAAATTTGACAATGATGAATAGATCATAGTATTATAGATAAAATGGACGGTATTATGATGAAACAGCCCTCTAGTTACAGAAATGAGCTGCCCGCTGATTCCTCAACTACGGGCCATTATCAGTTCTGTTGTCAAATGACGTCATAGCAGGTGACGTCACGCTCCATAATGACGTCATAAACCTTGTTTCATGATCTAACAGTGTTGGGTCAACAGCCCGTTGCGAGTAAGTTGTTTGAACTTAAAATTAAATTTATGATACTGTTTTGTCTTTTTAAACACAAGTTCCACCCATTTTAGCTGGATAGGGGGTGTTAATTGACCAATGGCTTCTGCAAATGACAATGTCCTGCGAAACAGCGTTACCCCAATAGTGTAGGGATACATTCAAAGGTTTCGGTGAATCGGTTTTTCAAATTGCGACCGTATATGCTGATTATACGGTCGGAAATTTATAGCATTGACCAATCAGAACTCGTGTTACATACTAAGTTGAATTAGAATATTGTATAATGCACACACCCTTGAGAGCATGCTACCGTTATAGCATTAAAGTGATTTGTACGTCTCATGTACTCCACTTAATGCAAAGCTCCATGAACGGTTTAGTTCGTTTAACATGAAACAGAAAGACATATGTTAAGGCAACTTTGCACCAGTAGTCCTTCTCGCTCACTTTCACATGACATTGAAATAACACCATCTACTTTCATAATATGACCGGGCTGTTAATCAACTGTACCTGGCACATGTGTGATCCAGAAACAAACACAAACGTTTGAATAATACAATATTTGTTAAGTAGCCATCCAATAATGGTTTAATACCAGCGAATATATACTGAGTCAAAAAAGAAACTTCACATTCTTTCTTCAGGGCACTTTAAAAGAACTAGAGATGGTAAGATGGTTAAATTGTTATTATTTCCTTGCTGAGATCTGTGTGATGTACTCGATACATTGACAGTGCCATAATCAGTTCCATTAGGCTACACCGCCGTTCCAAAACATGGGTATACAGAATGTCAGGTCACAAGAATAAAAATGCGAAATTTCACAGTTCAATATCGTGTATGGCCGCCCCGGGCATTCACCACCGCCAAACACCGTCTCCTCATCGACTGCCTGAAGCTTGTGAACACATGGTTTGGGATTCTGCGCCATTGCTCTTGCAAGGCAGCGCCAAGTTCCTGCAAATTCTGAGGTTGGTTCCTAAGACCACGAAGCCTTCTCCCAAGTGCATCCCAAACGTGCTCTCAGGGGACCGCGATGGCCAGTCCATGACGTTGATTCCAGCATTTTGAAGGAATTTTCGTGTCAACATCGCGGTATGCGGCCGAGCATTATCATGCTGGAACTGTAGACCTGGGCCATGAGCCGCCATGAAAGGAACGAGTTCAGGGGTGAGCACCTGGCTGCGGTAAGCAGCAGCTGTTAGGTTTCCACGGATGACCAGAAGTCGGGAACGGTTGTTCCCACAGAAAGCACCCAACACCATGCAACTTCCGCCCCCGAATCTGTCGACTTCCTGTACACAACATTAGGCATACCGTTCACGACGTCGTCTCCAGACTCTATGCCTGCCGTCCGCGAATCTGAGGGTCAACCTGGATTCATCGCTAAAGACGACTCGATTCCAGTCTCTCTGGGTCCATCCGAGGTGACGTTGGGCCCACAGCAGACGTTGACGTTGATGAAACGGCGTCAATATTGGCCCACGATATGGACGTGGAGAATGGAGATTGGCAGCCCGCAACCGATTTCGAATGGTCTGTGAGGACAGTCGACCTCTAAACATCTCAGCCCTGCTTCGTGTAGCCGGCAGAAATCTGTGACGTAGGACGATTTGACGATCTTCTGCTCGTGACGTCACACGTGGACGACCCGACCTTGGGCGATCAGAAGTGGTGCCAGTTTGTTGTAGACGACCTCGCAAGTCATACACAGTACGACACCATTTCAACATGGCAACGGCACGTTCACGTTGCACATTTGACAACCGTGGCATTTCAAGTACCGTTAGAACTGTGGTTTAAAAGTGTTTTTTTCAATTCTTGAGGCCAATGCAAACACGTGCATATGAAGAAAACGTCGATGCGAAGATCACGTGATCGACTGCACGTGCAAAACCTGATTTGGCACTAACGCCATTTGTACGACGAATGGATGGGATTGAGTGGGTTTTGCTAACGTTTTTCTAGAGTCGAAAGATAGGGATCCCATTTCGGATACATAGATGTATCAGCAGAGAAAAATTATTCATTATTTTTCAAATTACATTTTGTGAAGTTTCTTTTTTGACTCAGTATATGTGGTTGAACATACAAAGAAATTTACCATAGTCACGCTGTGGACACCTATGAGCATGCAGTTAATGAATACGATCACACTTTGAATAAATAATATACATTTTCAGATAATGCATGTAAGACTGTCATAATGCATGAAAATGAAACTGACCCTCTCTTTGTGATGAAATGGACCATGATAAATTAATATTTTCTGTCTTGTAATCCTTTCATTTGGGCTTCTGTCTCTTGACGTCATCGAAGTGGTAGGTAACACTGGAACCGTGGCCGGGGTGATAAGAAGTTCGGGTTATTGACACGGGCCCTCCATGTAATGATATTAATGATCCGATATAAATGTGTCTGTATTTGTAAAAGCGAATATCGTATGAACGAACATCTATTCACCAACTTATCTCAACCCTACTCCACCCTGCAAAAGAGAAAAGTAGTGTCGGCCCAATACATTTCTCTCTCCACCCACATAGACTTACTAGTCATCTATCCAATACAATATCTATCTTGTAACCCTTTATCTATCCATCCACTATCTTTGGCGCAGATTGTTGATGTTGTACAATTATTTCATAGAAGTGCTGGAACAATTGGGCAGCTGGATATTGAACCAGGTTCACAGCTACCAATGTTTGTCCCGTAAGAGTGAGTGAGTTTAGTTTTATGTCGCACTCAGCAATATTCCAGCTATATGGCGGCGGTCTGTAAATAATCGAGTCTGGACCAGACAATCCAGTAAGCAACAATATGAGCATCGATCTGCGCAAATGGGAACCGATGACATGTGTCAACCAAGTCAGCGCGCCTGACCATCCGATCCCGTTAGTCACCTCTAACGACAAGCATGGGTTACTGAAGATAAATATTCTAACCCGGACCTTCACGGGTATTTGGCCCTTATGACTAGATCACGTTCGTGTTGGAAATACATAACGGCAAACTGCGTTTCCAAGTCATATTTTCAAAACATTTCGCAGAAAACGTTTAGCCAAGTAAAAGAGTGTGAAGTAAACACACTGTCTGCTTCGGGCTAGGCTGAGGCAAAAGGATTGAGCTCTTCCAGGCCAGAAATAATATTTACTATTTAATATGGCCATGTAATATCCCCATGCAAATACACCACAATTGGATTTCGCTAGAACATTTGTGAAAGGGCATTCCTGAGGTATTGAAAGTGCTGTTTTCAATACACTCGTCCTTTAGAATATCCGACTAATAGTAACAAACTGCTCCGGAAGACGTGTGTTGGTATGATGTCAACAGACTGCCGACAGATAGGTAACAACAACCATATTTTACCATGTGTGTGAATGACTGAGTGAGGGAGTTAAAACGTAACGCCCAAGCATTATTATTTCAGCAGTATCTATTTATTCTGTAAAATTGATTTCTGCAAACATTTGTGAAAAGGCATTTGTGAAAGCTCCATTTGCTGGAGCTGTACGGGGTACCCACAGCAGCTGATGACACTCGAGAAGGGCTACCTCGTCGTGATGAATGCTAATTAACGGTAATTGTTCTTCCTCTGCAAGGACCTGGGGTTGAACATGCCCACAACACCCGATTGCTGGTTGCTGGTGACTGAATGTTTGCCATATGCCGGTGGAAGACTAACTTATCCTTGACAGGCAATACAATTCATACAAACTGATTCTAAAAATCGGCTGGTCACGCCATGCACTGAGCACGGACAACGTGAAACTTCTAAACAATGTTACAGAAATGTTTTTGAACTTGGTAATATTCAAATATTCAATATAATGATACAGTTTACCTAGAGCCAGGTGGCAGTGGGCCATCTGCCAATAAGTCATTCGACCTCTGGGTTCTATTTGTCCATTTTGACATAAATGACTACCTGTGTCCTTTTTGCTGATTTATAGCATCCCTGTAGCCCTGGCGTTTCGACTTCAACTGCGTCCTAGTTGTCACTCTATAGAACAGCAGTGATGGCGAATCTGTTTTTCGCTCATCATGGCGACCCCTCCAATCAGTGGTCTTCATTACAAAGTCAAGGCACGATTGCACAGGAGCAGTTCCATCTGTTGATCATGAAGCGTCTGCAACAAGGATAGATTCAAGGCCACGATTTCTGGGAGTTGGAGGAGTTAAT